ACAGCTTTCCTTGGCTTCCTATAAAAGCAGATGCCAGTTCTCTCAACTATTCATTGACAGACACTTTGACTGAATATACACTCTTATTCAGTACATACAATTCTCCCATCTACTCGTAAAAAACGCCAATCTCTTTATAGTTACAGAATTCCCTCCCTATATAAACCCACTTTTCCCACACACCCAACCCTAATTTCCTTTTACGCCGCTCAAGACTCAAGTATCCTCTCCGTCCCCGGTCCCTCTTCCCTTCCGTTTCTCTTCTCTTTTCTTCTCAACATTAACAAAATCAACCCAGCTTTCACCTCTCAGCTTTATCTCTCTTCAGGCAAGCTTCTTTTCTTTCTTTCCCTTTTTCTTTTTAATTTTTAGGGTTTTGATGGCTTTGTACTTGGACAGATTCTAATTTCTGGAATTCTGAATACAAGTAAATTATTCTTGTTCTTGTTTTATTTTTCAATTTCTGGCCTGTCAACTTCTAACATCTCCACCTATCTACTTTTGAGGTCTTTCTAGAAGAGTAGTATTGTTCTCATCCTCTCCACACTCAACTTGAGAACTTGAGAGCTCCATTAGTTTGCTGCTACAGGTTGAATCCTAGCAAGGTACCAAAAGAGGTAACTCTTATCTTTCAACCCAGTTCTTCACATTAGTTTGCTGCTACAGATTGAATCCTAGCAAGGGGGTTTTACTCTAATTTCTAAAGAATCAAGCTCTTTTAACATAATTTTTTTTAATATTGATTCAATTTAATCAAGCAATTTAAGATTTTTTTATTATTTGACAATAAATAGCAGAGCTACCTTTAAATTTTATGTCAAATACAGACTGCATTTCATTACCCGATAAGAATTTGTATTACAATAACTTCCTGTTATACATGTATATCGTCCAGTGGATATTTTAAGTAAGTAGTTTTAGTAATTAATATTGGAAAGATTGTGAAGTACAAGTTACAGAGACTAGTTTCATTTTTCGTATATATATATATATATATATATATATATATTACCTAAAGTTCCTTGCAGTGTTTATCACGAAAATGTCTACGGATGAGGTGAGGCTTACCGCTGCATCGGAAATTCAGTTACTGGACAAAAAAGATGAGCTTGTGACATCTTCTCAAAAAAAGGCTGGTACGATTCAATATTAATTACCTTATAAACTGCATGCACGCTGTATTATTTAAAACTTATAATGAAAGCATTATTTGAGCATGGATCCTTTTATATCATTAAACTTCTTTATAATCACTTTGGCAATTAATTTGTTTATCTGGTAATATATAAAGTGCATGTCTTTGGAAGTGTATATAAGTTGGCTCTGATCACTGTCATTGTTGTCTTTCGCCGAACTACCGAGGCCTTTCTTTCTTTTTAAAATAATCAAAAGTGTTGAACTTAAGCAGAACCACGGGGGGCAGCTATTGAAATTAAATATTTATATGTGTCCATCTGGTTTATAATATTTTTATTTATAATCGGGTGCTCTTTGGAATAACAATTTAATAGCTATTCGCTTCACGTGAAGTCTTTCTTTATAATTTCTCCTCTTCGTCAATGTAATAATTTTGTTATTCTAATTGAAGTCAAATTATTTTATGATAAGGTCTAATGTTTTCTGTTAAAGTGTAAGCAAACGGTGTGAACTTGTTTACAAACTTATCTTACATTTTTAGAGATTCTGAGATGTTAAGATTAATGATAGTCTGTTTCAATTTCGACAAGGATTATTATGGGGAACTATACTATTTAGCTTAAAGCATGTATATGTCCCTTTATTCATAAGAAGAAATAATGGGGAATTTAATTTTCTAATACATTATTTTCTTCCTATTTGTATTGCTTGAGTTGGTGTCATGTTCTTATACTATACTTTTAGTTTCCTAAATTGCATTGAATCAACAGTTTAACATTTAAATAAAAAATTAGTGACAATTATAACTAAGTACAAAATACTTTAAAATAAAATTTTATGTAGATGGTTCTTATACTTAATATTACTGTATCAATTTATATTAAAATTAATTAGTTGCTTATACGTAAACCTGTCCTTATTTCACCTTTACAGATGATTCAATGGTAAATGAAAACTTGGAAAAATTGTACATACTTACACGGAGGGATGACTGGAACACAGCTTATCGGGATATTTTTAAGGAAGATCCAATTGAAAATTCAAAATATTTGACTGCTAAGATATCAATGAAAGAGGACACCGCTCTTCTTGTTGCAATTAAGACAAAGTCCTTTGCGTTTGCTGAAGAACTAATAAAATATATGAAGAGCGAAGATTTGGCTATTAAAAATACTGATGGCGATACCGCTTTTTCTCTTGTTGTTGCTTCTGGAAATGTGAGACAAGCCAAGCAGATGTTTGAGAAAAACGATGAGTTACCAAATATCCATGGAGCTAACCAAATGTTACCTATTCAAATTAGGGTTGTTCAAATCCGGATATCCGATTCGAATGGCTTTATTTCTGATCCGATTCGGATTTTCGGATCAGGATATATCCTGATCCGTATCCGATCCGAAATATGTGGATATCCGGTTTTTCGGATATCCGATTTTCCCGATCGGATAACTGGATATCCGAAATCTATCCGAATTTTTGAAAATTCTTATTAAAAATTTAAAATCAAATAATTCTTCTAATAAAATTGAAATTACAATGCATGATTATCAACAAATTAATCCACAAGTTATTTAATGCCAACTTAACACAAAATCTATTACCCAAATTACAATTACAAATTTAATAAAAGGACAAAGAAAACAGCCAACTTAATACTAATACAATTTTTTATCTTCATGCCAACTTCATCACACCGACTTCACTGTATTTACTTCCTGGACTGAAGTGCGAGCAGGGTTTTTCATTCTCAAGTTAAAGCTTGCCTTTATGCTTCCAACCTGCAATTTACAAAATACAAACTTTAAGTTTAGAATTTATGCTTCTTTAATTATTCATCCCTAAAATTTAATTCAGCCTACTAATATATAAAGACAACATTATGTTAGCAACCTCTAAAATATCCAACCAATGTTAATGGATCCAAAACAACAAGTATACAACCAACAAAGTCATACTCATAAATTAAAACACTTCTATTTTTCCAATCAAACAAACCAGTCCCACCAATTGGCTGGATTTTCCCACTTCAACAATCAACACACTACACAATGCAACATCAAATAACCAGAAGGCAATGAAAGCATAAAAGCAAATCCCTCAGTGGAAACTAAGATTAAGAGCATAAAAGCAATGAAATGTTAAAGCCAATCAATCCAAAAAAAAATCCTGTTGCAATCAGAAAATAAAGAAAGGCAGGGAAAAAAAAATGAAGCACATCCCTCAGTGGAAACTAATATACTATATGGGGAAATGACAAAAAGTAAAGCGAAGTTCAAACAAATCAGTAAAATCAATGTTTCCTAACGGGCAACATCCAAATTAAATGGAAGCTTGCATCACTTTCTATACATTGAATCATCAGAAGTTCAAACATGTTCATGTATTTGATTACAAGTCTAAGATGTACCTATCAGTCATCCATGAATGTGCCAGTACCAAAGCCGTCTTACTTTAATGTTTTGTAGTTGTAGAGGTATACTTCAAAGATACTAAACGCCATAAAGAAAGGGTAATTTACTCACCAAGTAATTAAATAAAATAATAGGCTCCAGAATATCTTTTGTAATTGTGTATGATAACAATCAGAAACATTGCTCATGAGAGTAACATAAACAGACATTTGGCATATCCTCAACCAAAATAAATGTATATTGGAAAAAACTAAAGCTATAGATTATTATGTTAATCTACCACTAGATTCTATTACTGCCAGAATATATCAATCAGAAATATGGGAAAAAATTTTATACTAAGCACAGTGGCCATCTATCTCCAAACGGCAGAAAGGAAGCAGAAAACAAACCATTTTTTTCTTCACTGTCCTGTAGCTTTATATAATTACCATTACAAATCAATCAAAATATCATTCTATAACCCATCACTGATAAGATTACCAAGTGCAGAAAACTGATTATACAATCAACTCATTACCAAAATTTTGATTTTATAATGGAAAACACTACAATTTCGAAAGGGAAAAAGAAAATTCAGCAAATCTAAAGAAATTTAAAAACCCATTTCTTGGTATTTACCAGAAAAAAGAAACCAACCACTACAAAAAATTAGGGATTATTTGTACTTACGATATGGAGATGGAAGGTAAAAGAAGAGATGAGATATGGAGATGAATAAGAATATGATTATTTGTACTTACGATCGATTTGGGGCTTCAATTAGGGATTTAGGAAAGGAACTAACGATTTGGGGCTCCCTGATTCCAATGTTGATGACGATCTTGGCTTTGATGGTGGAAGGAGTGAGTGAGAGAGATGGCGATGGTGAGTTGGTGACTGTAAGTGAAGACTGAAGAATGAAGACGGCGATGGTGAGTAACTGAGTCGTGAGTTTGTGACTGTCGAGAGAGACTGAGAGAGTTTGAGTTTGAGTTAAATTAAAATTGTAGGGTTATTGGGTTATTTGAAATTTGAAAGGGGTGTGCATAAAAATCAAAACGGCGTAGTTTTAGTAAAATCCGGATTGGATACGGATATCCACTTTTTTTACAATCCCGATCCGGTATCCGATCCGGATTTTCGAAAATTATGATCCGTATCCGATCCGAATTTTCGGATATCCGATTTTTTCGGATCGGATCGGATCGGATCGGATATCGGATTTTTTTGAACAGCCCTAATTCAAATAGCACTTCAACAAGGCCATAAAGTGATGGTAGAGTTCCTAAGTAAAATCCAAGGACCCTTAGAAGAAATAGATAGTAACAAATCATCTTGTAAGTATGATCTATTCTTGATACTTTCTAATTACATATTTACTCGATCATCTTAATTTTGCTATTAATTTCCAACAAAATATTTTATTTTTCTTATATTTTTTATTCAATTAATATAATATATAAAATAATGATGGATACAGCAATTGAATCAACAAATGGGTCATCTGAAGAAATAGTTGGGAATGTGGCATCTCATCCCCTTACAAACCAGGCTGGTATGTTTTCATATTATCTTGGAAATCATTTTTTATATATTTTTTAAAGATGTATTCTTTTAAATATCATTTCCTTTTATTTATTTGAATATTTTTAATAATGTCTTGGTTTCCTTAAACAAAATGAACAATTTGTTTATTGTAATAGTATAAGCACATAAGAAGTACTGGGCATTAAGATAGGAGATCATCGTTGACAGTGTGAAACTATAAATATTTGACAATATATGTACTTTAAACTTCTGTGCTGGCTTAAGGGCTAGGCCTCTTAGAAAAATATATGCTTACAAATTCTTTATATTTAATCCATTTTCTTTTTTGAATTAAGAAAAAAATATTTTTTATTTTTTAAAAATAAGGGCTACTCAATATTATTTGTTTTCTTATTGTATATTATTGATGACTAAATTTCTTTATTTATATCCTTCCTTTTATAATAAATATTATCCCTTAAAGATTATTTTCTAATTAAATGTTAATTAAATTTTCTTTAAACTTGTAAGTGCAGAATTGTGACTTTTCGTTCCCTTCTATGAATAGTAATAGAAGGAAAAAATCACATTTGCTTCTTTTTAATTTTTTTTTTCCCTCCATAATATCCTTTCAATACTATATTCATTCTCTAATGCGAATATTAAAAATTTCAGGATGTCCTTATATACTTGATAATTTTCATACATACACATATTAGTATCAAAGCCTAAAACTATTTTATATATAACAAACTAATATATATTTGTTTGCCTACAGTTTTAATCAAATTTTATAGGATGCTGTTCTCTTAATAATAAAGTGCTAGTATATTTGATAAAGTTACACATACTAAATTTTGATGATTATTTATTTATTTATTATTAAGCATAAGAACGCCTAAATTAACTTTCCTTTAGATGGCCATGCTAATAAGTATAGTAATTAGTAAGCAGTATTTGTGAATCTGTGCATGAGCAGAGGCTGAGTTTTTCATAGTATATGAGCTAATTGAAAATCATTTTATAAATTTTATTTCTACTTTCTGGTAACTCCTTTCTCTATAAAAGGTTATATTTGGTATTAATGAAAGTATATAAAATTAAAATGAAAATGAAAATGTTTACAACGGGTTTATTGAATAAATGTGCATATATTAATCACTCTTTTTATATAAATATTAATTACTCTATCAATTTACATCAAAATCAATTTGAATGAATTAGTTTTTTTTTTTCTTATATAAAATCTGTTCTTGTTTTTCTTTTACAGATGATCCAAGGATAATAAAAATTCACAGAGTATTGTTATATGGTGCAATGTACGATTACTGGAGTGTAATTTATAGAGAGATTTTTAAGGGAGATCCATTTAAAAATTCAAAATATTTAACTGCTAAGATATCAAAGGGCGGGAACATCGCTCTCCACATTGCAGCTAAGAACAACTGCATTGAGTTTGTCAAAGAACTAATAAAGTACATGCTGATAGAAGAATTGGCTATTAGAAATGATGATGGGGATACCGCTTTTTTACTTGCTGTTGAAAATGGAAGCATGGAAATTGTGAGCACAATGTTTGAGAAGAATAAAGGGTTATCAAATATACGTGGATATTTAGATGATTTACCAATTCACCGAGCAGCCAAGTTGGGCCATAAAAAGATGGTAGAGTTCCTTTATATGAGAACTGGAGATTACTTAAATGACGAGGATTACATCAAATTGATTAACAATCTAATAAGAAGTGGTTTATATGGTAAGTATGCACTATGCCTTATATTTGGGCAAATTAATTTTAAGGATATGACTAGGGAAACCTTTTTATTTTTTATTTTTTTACATTTATTCTGTCATAAACCCCTATAATTATTTTTCATTTCAGTATAAAACAAAAACAAACTAAGTAATTGTATATATTTAATCTATGTAATTATTATTGTATCAATTTAATTATTTGAATCTTCTTTGAATTGAATCTATTTCAAGGTTGAATCTAAGTTATCTATCAATTTAATTGTTGTGTAACCAGGCTTAGTGCGGTATTATTTATACATAAGGCCAGAGTTAGTCAGCTATCGTCAGAAATCCAATGGGGAGACAGTATTGCATATCTTGGCTCGAGCACCTAAATTTGCCAATCAAAAACAGGGAATTTTTAAGAGATGGTACAAAGGTTAGTCTCTCTACTTTTTACAACCTTAAAGCTTGTCTTGATTAGTCATATTGCTCAATGTCTTGGCTTGTACATTCTATATTTACATTGCAATTTGACACTATGATTATTATTTTATTCAGTTAAATGATTCTTCAACATCAACTGTTGCACTTTCTTATTTTATATTCTTAATTTACTACAAATCATTTTATACGTTTTCACTTTCATTCTTTCTAATCTTTACAAGATACGTCTTTCTTCAAATTGAAAGATATCTGAAGCCTCAATTTGTCTGTAAGCTAATTAAATTGTGTTGGCTCACCAAACTCGTAGGTTCAGATAGCGAAAAGGTCCGCCATGGCCATGACCGAAAGTTGCCGCCAGAAGCACTTGAATTAGTCAAATGGCTTTGGCAACAAATTAGTCATTTGGATGAAGATAAGATTTCAGAAATTATTGACTACCCTTGGCCAATAATGTTTACTGCTGTCAAAGAAGGAAACATTGATTTTCTAACCATTCTTGTTCGTGAATGTCCTAATTTGATATTGAAAGTTGACCAAGACAATTATAGCATATTTCACATTGCTGTTTTGAGTCGTCAAAAAGAAATATTCAAACTCATTGACCATGTAGGTCCAACGGTTAAGAAATTAATACTTGAGATCAAAGATGATGAAGAAAACAATATCCTGCATTTGGCTGGAATGATGTCACCACTAGAACGGCTCAATAATGTATCAGCGGTAGCTGTCCAGTTGCAGCAAGCGTTGTATTGGTTTAAGGTAAATATTTGCAGTTTTGTTTTGTGCATAGAAAACAAATTTTTTTCCTGAATAAGATTTTTATATCAATAAATGTAGGAAGTAAGTCAGATTGTGGATCCAAAGCCAGCAAAAGCTAAAAATACAAATGGGAAAACTCCTAGAGATATATTTTATGAGAAGATCACAGCGATAAAGAATGAAGGGGAAAGTGGATGAAGGACACTGCAAATCCATGCATGATTGTGGCAACACTTATTACCATCGTGGGTTTGTCTGCACCTTTTACAGTGCCAGGTGTTACCAGAGAAGAGACGGAGATTACTAACTTCATTCAGAAACTTTCCTTCAGGATTTTTGTCATATCTGATGCAATATTGCTGGCATCATCAGCTGGTTCTATACTAACATTCTTATCCATTCTCACTTCACGATATGCAGATGAAGATCTCCTTTATGTGTTGCCCAGAAAGTTGTTGTTTGGATTCTCATCACTTTTCTTGTCAATAGTAGCATTGATGGTAGCGTCTTGTGCAGTTATGTTCTTTGTCTTCAAAGATGGAGGGATGTTAATTCCTGTTCTTGTTAGCATGATTGCTTCCTTGCCTTTCATTGTGTTCACGATGCAACAGTGCCGACTCCTTTATGATGTAGTGCGCTCCAACTTTGAAAATAGGTTTTCTTTGCAGGACGGTAAGCTCTCTCTTTTCGACGCTGACGACGAAGAGAAATCATGGAACCTTAAAAAGTGAGAACTTTCCTGAGCAATGATGGAACTTTCTATATTATAGGTTCTTTTGAGAATGCTGGTACTCTATATTATAGATTCTGTAGTTATTAACTTATTGTAGGTTCTTTTATTATTGCTTGTACTTATATGTTTATGACTTATTATAGGTTCTTTTATTATTGCTTGTACTTTATATTTATTGGTTTTTTTATTGTTGAAGAAATATGTGCTCTATAAGATATTCAATTTCCATTTAATAATAGTTTATATCTATCAATTTATGCTTGTTTTTAATGGGTAAGAAGAATCTTATATCCAATGTTTTAAGACCCAACCGGGTCTTAACCTGGTTAGGGACCCAGGTCTCAGGTTGTTTAACTGCTGACATCAAGGTGACATAATAAAAAATTTAAACTCTAAAAATTAGTTGGGCTTAAATATGATTTTAGAAAAATAAAAAATGAACTGAAACTCTAATTAAGCTGTTAATAATCAAAGCAAAAAATAGATTAAAGACGAATAAATTAATTAAATTAAAATTGAATTGAATAAGAAAAAAAAAGTTAAGAGGGAGGAGTCAACTTCTGGAACTTAGAAATTAGAATGAAGAAAATAATTTTAATAAATAGACTAAAATAGAATTTTAATTAAAATAAATATGAATAAAATAACTAATATTCAAATTATCCAATTAATAATAAATAATATTAATATAGAAAAACGTGGAGAAGAGAATCTAAAAATCTTGTCCTGTACCTTATCCTTATTCCTCTCTCTTTCTCCAAAAAAATCACAACCATCCATTTCTGCAATGCAGACACATCTCTCATAGTCTCACATCCAATCAAACAAACTCTTCTCTATTCACATTTCAGTCATCAAACAAACATTTCCTCGATTCCAATTCATCATCATCATAAAAAATTTTAATCATAATCATAATAAGAATCCAATGGAGAACCCCCATCAGTCTTCCTCATACCCACGACAGCGGTATTCAAGTTTTCAAAATATAGTGTATTCAAGTTCCCATTATCAACAGGGCAATAAAATACAAGTTTCTGGAATCGACAACACAATGAACACATGGTGAGAACTGAGATGAAGTGAATCAAGATGAAATGAAACACAAACCTCGGCGGATGGCGACTATAGTGCAGCCGGCGATGGACGATTTTGGTACACAAGATGGCCAAAGTTTGATTGTAGATGTTGACTACAAAATTGTGAAAATTGAAAGGGATTTACAATTTACCATGTAGGAAATGCATTGACTCGATTTTGGCACAAAACTGATTGGACAGCGGGTCGGTCTAGCTGCAGTTCAAAACGGGTGAAGTGTTATCTCCAGTTTTTCACCCTGATCGACCGGTTTAGTGGTCGATTCTCCGTTTGACTGGTTAAATCGGCCGGGCCGGATTTTAAATCATTGCTCATATCCCTTCCCTATTGACCTATATATATAGATTGTCGATTTTGAAAAAGATCTGTAAGGAGTTTAAATCTTGACTTTTGAGTGCCTGCGTGCCAACTTCTATGATATATATCTCTTGCTCATTTTTTAGTTTTGGGCCGGGTGGGCAAAACCAGTTAATCAAACCGAACCAATCATTTTTCGAACCAAGCCGAAAAAACGGTTCAAAGTAGAAATCCAAATTGAAAAAAAAACCAATTTACTGCATGAACTGATTTTAAACCGAACCAGATTACCGGTTTTGAGCTAGTTTTCAAATAAAAAATAATTTAAAAACACAATCTGCAACTTTATGCAATCCCATCCAGCTCACAATCTTTACGACTCCTATATTACTCGAACACACTCAATGTCAAGTCACATTTCTTGTAAAACCCTAAACGGCTAATCCCTTAACAATACCCAACATATCAAAACTCAAAGCATCAATATTTACATCTGGGTTTTTGTTAGAGTCATGAAAATAACTATTTAGGTGATTTAAATATCCCATTTGTAAATAAGATGAAATTATATCGAGACAATTAAAGAGTTCATGAAAAATCACACTCTAAATCATTCTTACAATTTTGCATGTTTTAAATAAAATGTGAGATTGAGTAAGTTGATATTAGGGTGTTATTTATTAATCAGGTTTGATGTTCTCTTTTTTGTACTGTTTAGTGGTCAAATTGATAGTTATGTTTGGGGTTAATTGTCACTTTTTATTTGTGTAGGGACCAAACAAAATTTCCACATTCACTATATAAGGAATGTAATTATAATAATATATATGTTCTTTCATTATTGTTTGTACTTTCCACTTAAATTTTGTGGAGAATGTTGTTATATAGGGAAGGGCAAGGGCCGAGGACCCTTGTCTTTGGGCTTAGCCTGGAAGCTTAAGGTGATTCCCCGAATCCAGCCCCTCCCTGAATCGAGGACTTTCAGGATTGATTTTGTATTTTTTGTGCTGTTTACTGGTCAAATTGATAGTTATATTTGGGGTTAATTGTCACTTTTTATTTTTGTATGGACCAAACAAAAGTTTCCACATTCTCTATATAAGGAATGTGATTATAATAATATTTATGTTCTTTCATTATTGCTTGTACTTTCCATTTAAGTTTTGTGGAGAATGTTGTTATACAGGGATGGGCAAGGGCCGGGGACCTTGTCTCCGAGCTCGGCCTGGAAGCCCAAGGGGATTCCTTGAATTTGGCTCGTCCTTGAATTGGGGACTTTAGGGAATTCCCAAGTCCAACCAATGGGATTTCAGGGAGTCCCCAAATAAAAAAAATTAACAAAAAAATCTTTATAATAAATCAAATGATACACTTAGAAAAATTCAAGAAAAACACATCAAAGGAAATCGGCCCTAAGCCGGTGACCAAAACTCGAGACGGACAACGGATCTGGAGTTAGAGTTGTTGCATAAGATTTCCTTGCATATATTCGAAAAGCTCCTCAAGAAGCGAGCGACGCATAACTTAAAGCAAATTTGGATTTTTATGACAAGTTCGATTAGGACGATCGAAATGTAAGACGCGACGAAATGACTCTAGAGGAATGTTAACAAAAAAAAAAAAAAATTTTTACTGATGGGGATATACCAAAATATTTTTATTAATTGAGGAGTTCGATTACAATCTAACCAAACAAAAAAACAAAAAAAAAAAAAAAAAAAAAAAAAAAAAAAAGGGGGAGATATAATGATTTTTAGGCAGGTGGAGGAGCAGGGATGTCATCTTTGGCCAGACCAGGGAGCTCGTCGCCGATTGGGAGAGACAGTTCCTCGATCGAAGGAATGGTAGCGACTTGTTCAAGGTTGGAAGCCTCGCCTGGAGGAAGATCAACAACTCTAGAGGGAAGTGTAGCCAGAGGAGTTGGATCTTCGACTTCTTGATTGCTTATGGTCAGTCTCCCTCTACCTTTCTCGACTTCTTTTTGGCCCTCGCCATCGGCCTCGAAATCATTCTAGTAGACGTAGGCCATTCCTTGAGCTTTGGTCTTCATCTTGTCGACCTCTCTCTGATAAGCTGGCAGAAGGAAAGAGAAGTAGATCGAGGGGTGAGCTTCCCACAACTTCAGCACCAGGAAGACCAACGTCTCCCAGGCTCAAGTGGTGGTGGCCTCATTCAGTTCCTCGATCTGAAGCCTGAGTTGCATGGCCTCAGCTTTGGCCTTTCGTCGACCTTCTGCATCCTTAGCAAGGTCGAGCGAGGCTTGCTTGAACTTGGCCTCCTAGTCCGAAGTAGTTTTTTGATTGAGGAGGACTCGAAATTCCACTTATTGTTGGTACCCTGCTATTGTGCCAAACTTTTCTCTGCCTTGGTTGCTTCTGCATTAGCCTTAGCTTGCGCGGCCTCACTGACCTTGATTTTGTCAAGGAACTTCCTTTCTTTGACCTTAAAGGCTGTCATCTCCTCTTTGAGCCACTCGAACTCAGCCTACTTTGTTTCCTTCTCCTTCTCCGCAACCTCAACCCTAGCCAGAGCATCCTCTTTTATTGTCTTTACTAATTGCCACCCTTTATGAGTGCCCTCCAACGTGAGATAGCACTCATCGTAGAGAAGCCTACTCGCCATGGCAGCTTAAAAAAGATAGGATGCAAAGTCAGTAAGAAGTAATGATAGAATGCAAATAAAAGAAGGAGGCAAACTACTGGTACCTTTGTCGTATAGGTGCACACCCAAGCCAACATCTGGGTGGGAGACGAGTCTCTAATGCCCATGAATGTTCACGGGGTGATGTCATCCCTGGTGGCTGCGGCCCCAACGCTGATATGGTCAGGGCGTTGGTCAATCAAAGCATTAACCGCAGCTCAAGCCATTTCGTCCATTTTATTACCTGCCTGTCGAGACGAGCAGGACTTACTTCCCCTAGTAGTGGCAACCTTACCCATGGGAGCAGACTTCTTCTTAGCCAAGTCCTTGGCCTCGGATATCTTTATGTTGCTAGCCAGCACAGCAACCTCTGAGCCCCCTTAAGGGTCGGCCACTTTCTATTTTCCCGAGCCCTTTGAGGCTCGATCGACTTTTTTTTTGCCCAAGCCATTATACTGCTCGGGCGCCTTCTTCTTTCCCAAGCCTATAGTTAGCTCGGTGTTTTCTTTGACATCCTTTTTTTGGACTCGGGTACACATTTCCCTCCAACTAACTTCAAGGAAGTCGTAGGCTTCTTCACACTTGGGTCTTCCCCAAGTTCACTCTCGCTGCACTTCGCGCTAGCAATAATAGTGGGCTACTTCATCGCCAAAGCAACTGACACTTTCTTGGCAGCCATAGAAGTTGCCACCTTCTTCTTAAGGTCATTTGGTTTCTCGGCCCATATTTCTACAAAAAGAGAAGCAAACAGTAGGTGACCTACCTACACAACAAGAATAAGTGCAAACAAGCAATAACTTACCTTTCTCAAGAATTGTAAAGAAATTGGCGTTATCCTCACAGAAGCCGTACACCCTTAAGTGAGGAAGCGAGATGATCTCAAGGATGTTGTGTTGTCTATCGGAGAGGTCGTTGAAGTGTTAAGAGTCTCTGTAAGCTCGCAGTAGGGAGATAGTTCTGTTC